GAATAATTTCACTTCTCTCTGGTTAACCCCTCCACCTGGGAGCCTCTGTATGCAGCTCACATGTTCACAACTAACTAAACAAAGCTTCAGTATATAATTTGTTTCCAGTTTTTTTCCTCTTCTTTTTGAAAGAAAAAGGATGGCTCAGAGGACGCTCTTATGAAACACAGTTTCACTTTCCATTTCCCCGACTGAATTCAGGATTATATTACACAATATTCTAACCCCCCCCCCCCAAAATCCCTTTTTATGTTATCGAAATACTGCCTGCCTATACCAAAACGCACAGAATAATCAATAACGAATGATAAGAATAAGTCATGTGTGTTTCTTTGGGGGGGAAATGGCTTCACCCGTTTCAAAACATCTGACCGTGAAGCTAAAACGGGTCACCCAGTCATAAACAACATTCAATCCATGCAATCAAATAAGCTAACTGGCACCCAGAAGCTCAAAATCGGTTTTAGCATGTTATTGGTGACGACTAGTGATGAAAATATGAGCTATACTTGGCCTTTTTTTAACCTGGTTTCTATGAGTTTATGTGACCGATTTAGCTAGCGGTCAGCTCTCCGTGTAAACGATGTAGCGGCTAAAATCGGAAGAAAACAATAAATAACAACAAATATTTACCGGCAGTATGTTTTTCAACCGATGAGTTTGATCAGCTCTACAGCTCCAGGTCCCCAACCTCAGCCGGCTAACGTAAGTACAAAAGAGTATTCGGGCGTTTAAAACGGCCCCTTTCAGCTTTTATTTACTCCTGATAGCACGTGAACTGATCACATGAACTCAAAGCATGTGATCTAACCGTCATCCACGCGGTCATCGAGCTCTTCCGTTAGTTTAAACCAGTCCTGACTTCTTACAGATAAAGTCAACCATCTGAATTAGAATCCATGAAAAACGATATATAAATATAAATATTTTTATTTTAATGTTAATATATGCATTTATTTATTTATTTTATTTTATTAATGAAAATGTGGAAGAACCGCTGGGTTGTGCTGTGTTAGTTTTTTTTTTTTTTTGGAACTTAATCAGAATGAAAACCCTGCAGTTTAAAAATTTATTTGGACGCTTTTTTTTTTTTTTTTACTTAGATGATATTCTATTTATTGTAACTGAAACTGACTTCGATATTAGATTTTGATTTTGATATACCTTTATTATATCATGGTATTACAATGTGACATAAAAGTGATTTGTGAGTTTTGAGGTATTTGTCTTTGTCTTTGCGTTGTGTAGTATAGTAAAACACCCAAATTATCATCCTTATATATAAAGGTAGTACTGCCAAGGTGTTACAGGAATAAAAAGTAGAACAGCTGCAATCTAAATGAAAATGAAATGTAATATAACTGTAATGCATTTGTAAGCAAGCTGCGCAAAACTTTTAATGGAGATGTGCATGGTGGTCAAATAAAAACTGAACTGAAAACTGTGATATAATTTCCAGAGAAAGAGTACTGGGCCCAGGAAACCTTGGTGCTGTGCTGGTATCAGGAAAAGATGATTATATTTGGTCAAAACACAGTTAACTGGGACCAGTGAGATTTTTTCAAGCTCAAATAACCATTTGTTATTTATCTGTTTAAGAAAGTCTGCAATAAATACACAGACTGTGTAAATTATCTTTTTTCCCCTATATTATCTCTGTACTGCATGTGGATGTGTTTTTGAGCCAACATTGGTTTTCATGTGATTTTTACATCTAGTTTTATTCATCTGAGTAGTGTCCTGTGATTTGACCCTGATTGTGCTTTTGATCACTGACCACAGAGAAAGAGATGATTGTCCAGCTGCTTTCTCTTCCTTTTATGACTGTCATCTGACTTTGAAAGTGATGAGTTGGGAAAAAAAACGCAAGCACACCACATCAAATGTAATTATTTTTTTTACCAAGTGGCGTAAGAGCACATCCTAATTCTAACAAAAAAATGCTTTCACCAGAGCAGGTGACTCAGTTTCACATAGGAATATTAGACTGTATTAAGGAACAGTCTAGGGTCACGTTACAGTTTGTCAAAGGACTATCTAGTTTTGAAAATAATTATGTTTTTGTGCATTAATAATTCAGAGCAATCATATTTTTATGATATTATGATGAAACCGTCTATTATGGAACTGCTTGTTGACATAGATCTCACTTCTCAGCTCCTTTGGCTAAATTCTTGAATGACAGCCATAGTTTTTAGAACTTTATGTAAAATATTTTACAACAATTTGAAGTTTAAAAAGAAAAGTTTAGAAAATGACTAAGTAAAATTGGCCACAATTTGAACAAATAATATTTACAAATGTCTTTGAGTGCAAAATAGAGACCACTCCAAAATGTGCCAGCATTGCTTTATTTTATAAGTCTGCACATGAAGAACAATTCATGTAGTTAAAAAAAAACCTGCTCATTGAAGGGGTGTATGTCAGGATTATGAGTATTGTAAAGCATAGTTATCCTTCTTGTGTTACAACAGGGTTACAACAATTTGGGTGCATTGAGGAGCGACTCAAACATCCATTTTATTGAGCAATAGCGTGCATGCTAGGCTACAAGGGACAAAACTGTGTGAGGACTTGGTCAGTGTCCAGAGAGATAACAGAAACAGGCTGTCCAGTAATCTGTTTTATAACTGGACTACACACCGTAGGCCCTTCCATTATGAAAAAATGTAAGCGCTCTATTTCTTTAAAAAGTAGAGAGTAAAACCTTTTACTTTTCAAAAGTATTCACTGTAAAGCTCAACAGCAGTGGGTTAGCCTGAGATAAATAACAGTCTGATACAGTAGGTATGCACTCTCAGAGAAAATACGCACTCAAGGGTTGCACTTCTTGAGTCTGCTGTCATTCTGATGAATTATTTAAACATCTTGAGCATCTTTGTTTACACAGTGTCAAAGAAATGTTTCATTTTGCAGCAGTGATTTATATTTTGGCACCAAAACTTGATTTTGACACATGAAATTAAAGGTTTGAACAAGCTATAGCCTTTTGCACGTTATTTATAATGCTTTGATGAGTGTATGAGATGTTTTGATCTTTATATTTGATGACCTTTGAGAAAGTTTCCAGAGATGTGCTAGGATAAAGCTCGTGCTGCTGCACTTCCACTGATATGTGTCTATTTCTCAGAATCATAGTGATGATAAATTAATCACTGGTAAGCAATAAAACCCAGCACACTGGACTTTGATCATGGCAAATGGCTTTATTTTTGTCATATCAACAGCACACTTAATGACACGACTACCATCCACAGCTCTTTTGTGGAAATCCTCTCAGAGATGAGGTGATTTGTACTAATGAAAGGAGGTCGTCCAGTGACAAGGTGACGAGGTTATAATGAATCAGCAAACTAACTCAAGTCTGTCAGTGATAACTATCTGCTCTCTAAACATCCTCAAACTTTAACACAAAACCTTGTCCAGATCATTTCATGAACAGTAAATGTGATCAAATATAAAAGAACCTTTTAAAAGTACAAAATGAATCAAATTACAAACACAAGTAGATATTATCGTATACATCGCGTACACAAAGCAAAGCATGTTATTTCTATTTCAAAGCGATATGCGTACATGAGGCAAGCGTGGCAGCTAAAGCTGTCTTCGTACAAGGCAAAGCGATGACGCATTTAAAGCATGAGTGTGGATATTTTTTCATAAGTGCACTAAATACGTTAGCTAGCTTATTGCTGTTGCGTACACATACATTCTAGCATGTGTTAAAAAAACGGTAATGTGCAGTTACATTAAGTAACGTGTAGGTAATGTGAGTGCTTCTTTCTCTATGGGAGTAGATATAACTCTCAGTCTGCCTGTATGAATGAGCATCATGCAGTGACTTAACTATCAGAAAGCTGCAGTAAATGGACACCAGTTTGAAAAAGCAGTTTCTACCAAAATCAAGTTTCTAGTTTTAAAATCACTACTTTGCTCAATGAACTCAGTTTCTCAGTATCCTAAAGTGCTGCTTGTGTTTCCTCTCCTTCCTGCACATTAAAGAAAAACATTAACAGACCTCATAGTTACTACTGCACAGTTATTGTTTTGTTTTGACACAAAGCAATAAAAGTAATCCAGCACAGTAAAAAAAAAAAAGAAAAATAGATAAAGTCACATGGAAGACTGACATAGTCACAAACATTATTCTGCGATTACAGTTTAACTTCGCACACAGGTTTCATGACGTTAATACAGGTACTGACCACTTCAGACTAATAGCAGCGCATAATTTCGAATTACTTTTGACTGTGCCACAGCTAATTTTTCTTCTTCTGTTAGCTACATTCATCATCATGATCATCAACTTTATTTATAAAGCACTTTAAAACAACCACAGCTGACACAAAGTGCTGTACATTGGAACTGTAAAATAAAATTACATGAGATATAAATAAAAAACAAATAAAAGAAGAGTGAAATCATTAATTAAATAACTACTGCATTAAAAAAGAAACTAAGTCTCACTGAGGTTAAAAGCCAAGGAATAAAAGTGGGTTTTAAGATGTGATTTAAAAGTGGACAGTGAAGGGGCCTCTCTAACATGCATGGGCAAATTATTCCATAATTTTGGAGCCACAATAGAGAAGGCCCTGTCCCCTCTGAGCTTCCTCCTGGATCTCGGTACCTCCAGGAGCAGCTGGTCAGCTGACCTGAGAGACCGACAGGGTATGTGGGGATGAAGAAGCTCAGAGAGGTAAGGCGGGGCAAGACTGTGTAGACATTTAAAAACAAACATAAGAATTTTAAAATTAACTCTAAAAGACACAGGCAGCCAGTGCAGAGAGGCCAGCACGGGGGTTATATGCTCTCTTTTTCGAGTTCCTGTTAGGAGTCGTGCAGCCGCATTTTGAACCAGCTGCAGACGTGAGAGCAATGACTGACTGACCCCCACATAAAGTGAGTTACAGTAGTCCAGGCGGGAAGAAATAAAAGCATGGATCACTGTTTCAAGGTGCTGCCTCGAAAGAAAAGATTTTAGTCTTGCCAGTCGCCTTAAATGATAAAAACTGGACTTCACCACTGCTCTGATTTGGTTGTCCATTATTTAATGTTTTAAGATAAAATTGCAACACGAAAGTTCAACTGTATTGAGGTAGGTGGTTTAACTGATGGACAGACTGAGGAGTGACACAGATTACTAGATATAGTTAATCCTTTGTAGCACAAGTAGAGGTGCAGCTATTCAGGTAGGACAGGTATGAAAAATGAGTTTCAGTGCTGTGTATAATTTCATAACAAAGCGGGTCTTTGCTAACAAGGACTGTGTACCCTTTTATGAAGCGCATAATCTGTCTTGCATTTTGAATACACTCCACAGGACAGCACACAGTACATTTTGATATTACACCAGTTAATAAGTAGGCAGTGAAGCGAGATTTAAGATTTGAAATTAAAATGTAAAACTTGAAAGTACTTGTATTAATCTGAAGTGTTAGCTCGAACTGTGCAAGTTTAACTCCCACACAGAAAATATATCTTCTTCATCATTGATCTTAACAGTGCACAGAAATGGTAAAGTTTCCTCTAGTTCCTTATCCTGCGTCACACATATTTTATCGCACTTCCCTTCTTTCGTCTGCAAAGGTTCAGAGCTCAAAAAGTGTTGTTATAATCAGTGCACAAAGATATTTGATTAGTAAAACCCAAAAGCAAGTTATATAAAAAATTAAATGCATCTAATAAATGAAACATAATCCCTTCATAATCACTATTTTACTCATTCAATATTCTATCTAATTACTCTCCCTTCCTGAATTGGCCTGTTTCAGTGTGTATGTGATGTAGGTAAATACTAATATGTACTTCACTGCAAGTATAAGTAGTTTCTTAAAAAGTGGATGAGACATCCAACATCAATCGCCTTGTGATTAAGAAAAGGAAAGACAGAAAAGAAACGTCAAGAAACGTAAATGTTTGCCTGAAGCTGAGTTGATTTACATTAAGATTTTTGCATTGGTGTGTCATGTTATAAGAAATTCTGCACAGCAGCCTGGCAGACAGCATGTTGAGTTATTGTAAACTGGTGATTTTGTATTTTCTTTTGGTATAAAGGATCCAACAGCTCAATAACTGCTCATGCTTTAAATTTTAATTACAAGCCATAGCTACTTTATAGTCATTTTGATTTCTCTTACATCCTATCCAAGGTTACCTCAGTTGACACTTAGGTGTAGGTTTTTTATTTTTATAGAGTAATAGTTAAAAATGTAGTTTGAAGGATTATTATTTTATTTTGACAAGTAGTCCAGATTTTAACTTCTGTAATCTACAAAATTTCAACTCACCCTCTCACATATCAGATGTTTCCTCAAATTGCTCTCATGGCTTGCATAGGAATATACTTTAATACAAATCCTTCAAAGTCCTGCTATTAAAACTGAAGATTTGTCTCTTTTGATTGATATTTTGGTCAATGTGACACATTTTCAGCAATTATTTCCTGTCTAGCTGCACACAAGGGGAAAACATGAGCAATATTATACCAATCTCTTTCTATGACAGTTATAAGTTAACTTAAAAGATTCTAATGCTGAGAACAGCAAAACTGGAAAATACACCATCCTCCACCCAGGCTTTTCTTTTCCTTGTACCCCCATCCTACTTACACTGCCCTCTCTCTGCTGTCCACAAACTGGACCATCTGTTTGCGAGCGTGGGAGATAACTGGAGTGAGAGGAACAATGGGTGTACCAGGTGTAATTGCACCAGGAGTTGAAGCACCGGGAGTTGAAGCGGCGGGAGTTGAAGCGGCAGGAGTCGAAGCGGCAGGAGTCGAAGCCGCAGGAGTTGAACCTACAGGAGTTGATGCTGCAGTAGTTGAACTTACAGGAGTTGAAGCACTAGGGGTCCCATCTGGGGTAGCACCCGGTGTTGTACCAGGAGTGGCAGGGATGACGATGACAGGGGTGGGGCCCAGGCTTTCTTGTTCTACACGGGGCTCCAATCTGGGTGTGGATGTGACAAATCGGGCCTCCCTGATCCGGTAGGGACTTCGGTAGGTGGAAATGGGTGACAGCTCTGAGCCCCAGCCAAGATAGCTCCCACTGGAGGGAGACTGCACATCTGCACTAAAATACAATGTAGTGCTTGACTCTCCAGGGACCCCTGATTTTTTATCTGGGGAACTAATCAGGAGGGGGGAACGCCGCTCAGGTGACCAGCCGGGAGTCTTGATGTCTAAAGAACCCACCGAAGAGGCCTCAGTCAGAGACGCCTCTTTGCTGTCGATGTGGCGGAGGCTTCCTGGTTGTTGAGGAGACGAGAGCGACGGTGAGCCATAAGCAGCGCTTTGGAACTCCTCATCACCTTAAAAAAATAAAACATTGGAAAGAAAAGTCAGTTTAAAACAATACACACGTATACTGCAGGGGAGTCAGTGCTAGAGGTAAGAAACATAGTGCAGTCTATATATTTGCTGTCTCTGTGATAAATAATAAATGCACTGTACTAAAGGTCATAGCTTATAATGCCTGTAATATCCTAATTTTTCTTTTAGCTAAGAATGAACAACGTAACTCTGGTATGTTCAGGGTATAGACATAGTGTAGAGAAATCTGACTCTACAAAGACACAGAGTGCTGCACTGCTCTCCTGCTTTACACACTACTGCACACTTTCTGCTCAGCTCCAAACAGCAGACAGACACTGTTACTAACTTTCTGGCAAGATTCTTATAGTTACGTAAAACTAAACTAAAAACTAAACAAATATGTGCATTTGGGATCTTAGAAAACTAAAATAAAAAGAAAACATTGAGGAGGTGTTCTTAATTTTAGTCGTTGTCAGGTCAGTTTGGTGAAATTTTCAAAGGATAAAAACTAAACAGAAATGAGAAAACCCACTGTGGAAACTAACACAAACTACACTGAAATAAAAACAAAAATAAAAAAAACTATAATAGCTCCGCTTGCCAGTGAACACAGCAGAGCATTGAGCTGCTAAAGAGATCGATATTTGTCATTAGAGTTGATCTAACCCTCCGACAAAAGAAAACAGAAGCACTCTAGAGCAAAATTCCCCAACGCGCAGAGACTACACTAAAACATCGATGTTTTATTATGTTTTTGTTACAACATGCTGACGTTAGCCTGCTTTTAGATTAACAAGCTGATGTCTGACCTTTGACCTTGATGCATTACATACTAAAATGGTGCATTTTATCATCTTTACCCACGTGATTAGAGCAGAATTGGCTGAAATCTTTAACTTCTATAAGCTGTTACTTAAAATTTTAAAATACAGTCATTTATGGCATAATTATCACTTTTGTGTCGTAGGGCAAAAGAAAAAGGAAAGTTTGTTGTACAGCTCTGTCCATGCTTTTTCATATGAAATATTACTTGATATGGCTTTTTGTACTTTTTTTCAAGGTCAACTTCGACCTTGGGCACTAACAATGAAGGTCAAGTCAAATGCTTAGCCAACCTAGGTTCCCATGTCCCCGAAGAAAGTGTTTATTGTTTTGATTTTTGAAGACAAACCATAGAAAACTGTGTATAATATAAAGTAATTTAACCTTTTCCCTCTGATAGTGCCACGCTAGAGTCTTCTTCTGCAGTTTCTTCAAAGATGACCTCCTGGACTGGGATGATCTCTGGAAACCTTCTCATATCCTGAATAGTTGTGGGAGGAGCTTTTCTCACTGGTCGGGCCACTATAGTGCAGTGAGCTGGCTTTGGTGGCTGGACCACCTCTCTCACCTGGATACATTACAGACACGTGAGCCTCAGACTACAACAAGCAAACATAATGTATCCTTTACAGAAAAACAAGCCTTTTAGTAGTTATCCTGATGTCTACTGATACTCCTGATATTTATTCTCATGACCACACTAAATGCCTACTGTCCTACTGAACTAACCCACCAGGTTTCAGCTCATAAGTGGCTTAAATAAGCAATGTACTGTATTCTTAGTTTAGAATAGACACAGTCCCCCTTTGTGGTGGTCTAGATAAGATGTTAAACAAAACTCTTGCCTCTGAAACCTGTGAAGGAGCTGGTGGAGGAGGAGGTTGAGCAGCAGCAGCAGCAGCAGGTTGAGAAGCTGGTTGTGCGTGGTAAGAAAGCTGTGGCTGAATTGGTGGAATCTGACAAATCACATCAAAAGTATGAAAATAAACTCCTTTTTATATAATCACATTTTCTTAGCATTGGGGCCAGGTTTGGAAAAACAAAATTTTATCATACTGATCAAAGTCACACCTTAAAACAAAGCAAAACAAAACAGTAAGTTTTAGGAAGTCCAGCTACTAAGATGTAAAACTCAAAAAGACAACTAACCTGATGGACACGTAGGTCATCAGGGGAGTGAACTTCTTCAGACAGACCCATCAGTCCAGCCAGTCCCCCCTCACCATATGCAGACCAGATCCTTGAAACATCCCCTGTCTTCAGAGCTAAGCGAATCAGCAGCCAGTGGTGATGCTTCCAGCCCTCCCATTGGATAGGAAGGTCCATGAGAGTCCCACCTCCTTAACAGAAGATGCACAGTCATTCTTCAGATAGATAGATAGATAGATAGATAGATAGATAGATAGATAGATAGATAGATAGCAACAGACCAGACAGTGTTGCATGTCGATGAAAAGTGGGCGTGACTTTCTCCTCTAATGAGAGTGTAGAGCCACGCTCCATGCAGGCCCCGGCTATTCCCCTGTGACGAATACTCTGGAAGATTTCAAAAGACTTTGGATGGAGGAAACGATAGTACAGCACCAATGCTATCACTCCTAAAGACAAAAAAACCAAGTGTCAGGAAGAGGAACATTGAGGCCTTGAAAAAGTTGTTGTGTTCCCTTTTTATAACTTGAATTTGCACATGTTCTGCGTCTCACCAATGAGGAAGCTGCAGAACACTGCAGCTGGGATTCCCACAGTATCCCAGGAAACCATGGCAAACATCCAGGAGGATGCCAGAAGAAGAAAAGCGTTCTCTAAGAACATAACCTGAGGAAGAATAAACAGACATCCAATCCCAAATCAAGATTACACTGATTTGACATTTGAATCGTTTATAGCTAATGCATGGCATCTGCTGGATGTTTTTCCCCTCAAATAATATGAAAAACACTCTATGATCCCAATAATGCGAGTAACTATCTTTGTTAGCACGGAAAAAAGCCGTCTGTGAAAAAAGTACTAATGTGAAATTTTCAGCATTTTATGTATTCCACCTAAACGCTAAAGTAAAAAGCAAAGCTCTGCACAGCTGAAATGCAATCATTTTCAAAGTCATTTTCAAATATTATGTATGCTTTCAGGTTTCTGATGATGTACTAAACTTACAGCTTTTCTTTTTCAAATGTAATTTGTTACAGTGTCTCTGTTTTGTCAGAGCCCCCGGCATATTAAACCCACAATATCATGAGCAGACAAGCTTGAAGTGAACACAAACACACATACCAGATAAAACCCAGCCATGCGGTATCTAGATTGACCGTACTTCACGTTGAGGAAGAGGAAGATGTGAATAGCTCCCAGAACAAGATTGAAGAGCCTCCATCGGCTTGTAGACCTTATGATATCTGTCTGCTGGGACACCATCCAAAAAGTTGCTCCCAGCCAGTGGACACCTGAAACAGACACAGTCCTCTTATGCTTTTTCTTTTTTTTTTGTACACTGTTACAGTGATGGATGCTCATATTAAACAGGGTCAAAGTTTCAAACAGTTTTTCTACTGTTCATTCTGTGTGATGTCAAAGACAGAGGCTATCCCTAGCTGCCCACAACTGGCTGTGAAGACTCACCGATGACCCGAGGATCCACTGTTTGAAGATACGTGTGAAGAGCATGAGAATGGCAAACCTGGATCCCAACATACTGACCTGCAGAAAGAGAAACCATACGTGTACCAAAAACACAAGCAAAACAACAAAACACATGCTTATGACATGCCAAACACAGATGCAGTAGCATTACTGATACTGTTAGATACTATGTTGTAAACACTGCTTGTTGCGAAAGCTGTTAAACATGCCCACCCTCCACAGCAGTCGACAGAGCATGGCAGCTGGTGTCATTTGCAAGTGTCCTGGTCTGATGAGTGAACAGGCTCTGGCATAGAGCACTAAGGCCCAGCCAAGAGAAACCAAACACACTGCAAAACACACTGAGGCTGGCGAGAGAGAGAAACAGTGTGTGTCAGAATGAGACAGAGAGAGAGAGAGAGAGAAAGAGAACAAGGACAAGAAATATGAGTACACTGAAATACTGAATCACACAAGACTTCAAGATACAAAACTGTCACAGGCATAATGCTGGAATCAGATTTACAGCAGCAATACCAGTTAAAAGGGTATATTCTGAATTAGTTCTCTGTTAACATTTACTTTAACATTATTATTTTAAATAAATCACAAAACAAGTATGTTATGAACTACCTGGTCAGCTGAGGGTACTGTCAAAAACTAAATGACACTGTTTATTTAAAGATTTATTTCAGCTCTTCCCTTATACACAAGCCATAGTAGATCATAGTAGATGACTTTTAGAGCACATGCTCTTTGTGATCTAACCCCTAACGAATCTGTCTCCTCCAGTTCAGGAACTGGGGATATTTTCTGATGTGATAGGCCAAAGTGTAAATGACTACACCATGAAGCAACACTTAAACTGTACATTTTCTAAATTTAACCTTAGATCACTTAACTTGAGAATAAAAGTGGTCCTAGAAAAGAGCCCTGTTGCACACCTTTCTTTATTCTCAAAGCTAACAATTTGAATATTTTTTATTAAAAAAAAACTACATTAATCTCAAAACTCTCTGAATAAGAGAGACCTTACAGCCAGCTAAGGTCTCTCTTATTCATCTTAATTTAAGTCCCTACCATCTTCTCAAAACTATCTGAGAGTAAATTTGTTTATCCGCTGCTTAGCAGTGAGTAGTTAGCACACACTGGATTTATTTCACTAATAGCTCAATGTTCCATCTGGAAATAATACAAAAAAATGAACAGGCAGACTAAGCTAGAAAAGACTACAACAATTATCCAACACTGAGATTTTTTTATAGCTGAAGGTTGTTAGTCCTGTTGCAGCACTTTCACATTAAACTTTTATTTCATCTTGATTGCATAGCCAAAGGCCATAAGAGAGGCATTATGAACCTATCCACTGCTGTAAGATAGGCATAGGTACACTCCGACAGTAAGTGGTGATGTTACTGGTAGCCAGTAACATCACCACCAACAAATACTATCCAAATTTACAACAACTGATTACCTCCTTTTATTTTTTCATTATATATTTTTATCTATCCATATTTTGTGTATTTTATTCTGCACATATTACACATTCTATTCTGTAAATATGTTATTTATTGTGATTATTACTTGCTTTTCTTTTACCGCCAATCTGAGACAGTACTCCTACTCCATGTACTATTGTAGAAAGTATGACTGTGCAATGACAATAAAGAGTTAAAGTTTAATTAAATGTCCTTTTTCTGATCTTATTATCAAACTTGAACACACGCTTTCTGGTTTCTGACTACCTGGAGATTTGACTCCTATATCAGTACAAATTAGCACATAAGCGTGGAGTAGCGTCTCGGGGAGGGTGACGACCAAGGCTTCGAACAGACGTATGGCAGATGCATCAGCCTGCTGCATGATCTCACTGTACGTATCCTCATCTGGCAGGCGCATGCACTCCCACAGCCTGTGAAAACCAAAGATGAAAATAAATTAAGAGTTATACAAAGAGAGAGAGAGAGACCTTTCTCATTTATGATCATACAAATCTGGAACTTAAACCTGATTATTGGACACTGACTGATTAAATTAATTAATTATTACCTTTTGAAAAGTCCCAGATGCAGTATGTGTGTCCAGGTGAGAGACTTCCTGCGAATTCGTCCATCTGACAGGTACCAAAGGTAACTCAGCCACTGGGGACCCCAACCTGATCATAAAGAATTATAAAAATGAATAACAATTTGTTTTTCTAGAGTTATTTATTGATCTGTTTGTTGTAGATGTTGTCACCTGGCAGCAGGAACAGGGCAGTGAAGCCAGCAAGATAGCCATAGTTGTAGTTGTGACCGATCCACAGATAGTACACGAAGCAGTAGATCACTGAGGAGAAAGGGAAAGATGTTACCTATAGCATGTTACGCTTACAGGCTGCAAACACTCAGACAAAAAAAACTTGCCATACATCCTGAAATACACATGCAGGCACTACATGCATTTATTTAAGTAGTGAGTGAAGTATATTTAAGAGTGTTACTTAAATAAACTGTTTTGTAAAATAGGCTACATCTCACAGTGGCCTTACATAACATGACATAAAGTGCTCTTAGGTTTAACAATGAACTGTGAAACTGTGAAACTCAGGGATGTTAGATGTTAAAAATAATAATTTATCCCACAAACCTAACAGTAAAATAAAAATACCAATATTTTTCCCTTTTTGCTTATTTTGTTTTCACAGCATTCATCTCTTCTTCTCCTTTCTTTGAATATTTGGCCAGAGCAAAATTAATGTGAAAGAACAGATAAATACTGGTAAAAGAATTCCAGTTGGCCATTATATCAACATCAGCCAATCAATCATCACTGGTCAGTATACTGATCCATTTCTACCTAAATTCTTTTCTGACATGAACATGCACTCAGCTGATTATGACTTTGCACACAACACGCTTGACATTTTTTTTTTATAAAATATAACAACTAACTCACAAATCAAACAGTACAGAAAGTTGTTAAAATAAGATCAACTTTGCCAAATTCTAATGGTCATTGAAACAAAACACAGTGCACAGTAACATGGTTCTGCTCTCCGGCGTAATAAGTACATGTAAGAAACATTTAATTAAGTAGAATTCCCCATGTCCTTGTCCTTTCAAATCTCATATCTTTACCTTCACATGAGTGAGTGATACTGCCTAAACCAGATGTTATTTGGATGAGCCTCACCAGCACATGCAATTATATGATTAGCATGATTGTTGCATTCACTGACTGTCTGATCTCAGACACCTGAACACCATCTGCTCAGCAGTGGAGATGCATCTAAATCCTGAGATCAAGTGTTCCTCCTCATTGTGCCGCTGAGCTTTCTGTTTGTTCTGCTTTACTACAGTTATGTGTCCTGCAGGTAACCTGTTGCAGCTCTGTGAAGCTCAGTTTTTCAAACTGTTTCCAGTTTTTGCAAGTGTTATTATTATTATTTTTTAATAAAGCTAAGGAAGCTCTGTAATGATTCTCTCCCATTTATTTTAATTACTTTCTTAAATGTTTTGTGGAGATAACTGAACTTCTAATACTAAGAAAATTCCTATTTTTATTTTTTACATGGCATTTGCTTTCTTCTTGCATCTGTAACATTGCTGGATCCTCTTTGTTGGTACTTGGTTAATAAATTTTAATCTTTGCCACACAGAATAATGGTTCAGTGTTGTTGTTTTTTTCTTGTGTTCTTTGCTGGGATTCATATTTTGGGGGCAGCTTTGTTGCTTGCTGTACCACCCTAGTCTTGAATAGAAGGGCAGAGTGATTATACCAACCTCATAAACTACAACATTACTGCAGCGCATACACCCACATACACCCATTCTAAGAACAGCTGATCTCTTGGCATTACACTGACTCTGATTTTAGATATATTGTGTGCATGTGTTAATGCAAACGTTGCACTCTCTTCTATAGGATTGTTTATGTCAGGACTAACCTAAAGCATGTGATCAGTGGATCATTGCCAAAACATGCACATTTCAGTCTGCAGTGTGTCTCCACACTTTCTCATTGACCTCTGTTGTGCACTTCATCCCATCCAAGTTTCATTGACAACAGGCCGGCTGATGCCTCTCCTCTCCACATCACACTCTCTGAGGCTCTGCAGCTCTGCCTCCCTCCATCCCTGCATACATGTAATCTGAATCGTTTCAGCTCCGAAACAGGCGGGCTGTCCGGACAGACTAGGCCCGTCCTGGGGTACGCCCATCCCCTCCGTCCATTCATGTACCTCCAAAAAAGAGCGCTGAAATATGACAACATGGCTCCCCTTTGTTTTTATGCAGAAAACATCACCCAGACCAAGAAAAGGCACAGTTCAAATTATAGGAAAAGTCTGACATGAGTCAGCAGTCCTGCCGCATACAGAATTTCATAACGAGCGGTGTACAAAAATAGGAAAGAGACGCTGTGACTGCGACTTCTGCTGAGGCTCTATTATTCATGACAGCACAACGGAGACGCTGAAGTAAAAACAAATGCACAACTTTGTATTTTAACGTAGAACAAGATGTCACCCCTAACCCCCCTGTCTCATCCAGGCATCCCTCTGCATCCACTGTAGTCCTCACACTGCACATCCACACGCCGTGGCCAGAAAAGCACGCACAAACGCGCACGCACACACAATAAAGTAAAAAAAAAAGGGGCAGCGTTTTGCACAGGTAGGTGATCACAATCGGCCAAAACAGCGACTGAGGCATAATGCTCAGTTATGTGTGTGTGTGTGTGCATATGTTTTGCATGTATGGATGTAGGTGTATGTGTCCCAGGTAGGACTCACGCGCCGTCCTCTCTGCAACCAGGAGAAATGCGGTAAAGAAGAAGACGCAAACTTGGCAGCACGGCATGCAGGCCCTCCATTACTGGGGTGCCGAATAGTCTCGCATCGTGGAATTAAACCCTGAAAAGGGAGGTTTTCGGGAATAACAGCGTGCTAGTCTTCAGGCCGGTCCGTGCTGTTCTGGTCTCGGTCGGGAGTGTAGCTGCAGCAACCCGCTCTCCCAGCCCCGTGTCCCGTCCCGGCGTCAGCGCTCGTCCCGTTAAAGCGATAGCACCGATGTTTCAGGACTTAGTAAGATGCATTGGTATTGCCTAGATTTTTATACAGTCAAATCAGATAAATATGAAGTTGTTCTCTAAGCTAAGATTTTGGACTGAAATTGTAAAAGCGAAATGATTTTTCCCTGCAATCTTCTGCTCAGTCATTTTGTTTTGACATTTTGTCATTCAAGACATAAAACTTCATAGGTCAAGAATTGTGTCTTGTGTCTGTATCGTTCTGTCTGGTGTTGCACTGTCTTTGCACTTTGTGTAGTCCTGTGTTGATCGTCTGTTATATATTATAGGTTTCACCATGGTCTTGAAGGAACGTTGTCTTGCTTCACTGTGTACTCTACCACTGTACATGGTTGAAATGACAATAAAGCCACTTGACCTGAATTAATGCATTAGGTAGGGTGATCTTATGATGGTGAAATGATAGCTTTGCGCATTTATGTTAGACATATATTTTTCAGCTTACTGTACAGTTATCCTGTTTTGGGTTAATTTAATTTTGCCTTTCACTTTATTTATTCATTTATTTATTTATTTATTTATTTATTTATTTATTTATTTATTACATTTGTACAGCTGTACATAAATAATGGGGTGAATGGTTATGGCTGAGTTTTCCAAGATGAGCTGCAGAGGCATATTTTGGACACCAGATGGCAGTAGAGACAGCGTCACAGTAATAATAGAGTACACTGCTGCACTGGTTTTTGTCCATTAAATGATCACGTTTTTGTGCAACTAAGTGTGTGGGTACTGCAGTGGCGATATCAAGGTCAAAACCTTTCTATAGGTGATTCTGTCATGCTTTATGCCCTACATTCAGAGCTTTTCTTCTTTGTCAAACCACTTCCTGTCCACCACAACCCTTGGCTTACACTCAAAGCCGAGGGTTGTGGTGTTTGGCTTTGGTGTTCATTCAAATAATTACTTGAATGAACATAAAAAAAATCATGGAAAGGATTTCCACATGATTAAATGCTTTATTTTACCATCATGCAATGCTGTTATTCCAACTTAATGTACTTGAGTTGGACCAACTTAATCGATTAATGTTGAATAAACTTATTTGCTGCAGTCAAGTCCAGAATAGAAAGCCATTTATTAAAGTGTAACTCTGTTCCATGATTATTTAGGTTCATTTAAAGAGTTATTTTTTGGAGTGTTCAACAAAATATAGTCTGGTCAACATAAAACTTGTCATGGACATCTTTTGCCCTCCAATTTAATGGATTTATAAAATTCATATGGTTTTATAACTAGTAGTATAATAGTAGGTGGGCTGGAGCCTATCCCAGCTGTCAGAGGGCGAGAGCCAGGATACACCCTGGACAAGTCTATCACAAGTAACACCGTATGGCCTCTTGCACTCACATATGGGTAATTTAGAATCACCAACCACCCTTGCTAGATCGTATCATCTCAACAATAATAAATTTAACTAAAATTAATTTCATGCACTGTAGGAACATAAAAATTTTTGTTCAAATTATTTGTTCAAATTACAATTAGACTCTTTCCAGTCGTTAAAGGTGACTGTACACACCATTTCCCCGGACCACATGCCCTCGTTATGTTATTCTTATTGGCACGATTCAACAGTGTACATTCAACTGTAACCCTCACCATCATGGATTCTGCCAACAAACTTAGTAGAGGTGTGTACCACGGACCCAAACAGACCAAAAAAACCACTGAAATTAAAGTTTATTCACTTTTTCAACTCTTCACACAGATTTAAATGGAGCATGAGCTGCTAATACATTGTGTGATATGCAGAAAGACCTGCAGCTGATTAGCTGCCATCCTAAGCCATTTCTGTCATAATTATTAGTACACAGTCATTAGAGATTCAGAATTCTAGCAATATAAGCACCAGTATATCTCCATCTGTGCATCGAGTTATTATGCTGCTCTGTAGAGTGGAAGTTTTACATCTATCTCACCACATTTACACTTTTTCCCTTCTGTTGCCTTTAATTTTACAGTTTCCAGAACTCACAGTGGATTATAGAGGTTCACAAACAAATAAGAGTAGATGAGAAAAGTGCAAAAACTCTAAAATGTGGACCATATCTTGATACCAGTGTTTAAGACAGTAGTTCTCAGACTGTGGGTAGATGCCACTTGTGGGCATTGAGTTACTGGCATTAAAACGAAAAAGGTATCATGGGACCCTATAAAAAGCTCTAAAGCAATACAATGAAAATCATGTGACTATAGTTACATGGATGACAATCACCCAATGTTAGTGGATAGGATTAAGTGGGGCGTGCCAGAAAAGGTTTGAGAACCACTGATGAAAATTAATCCAAATGTTATGCAAATGTTTTTGCTTTTATTTGGCCTTAAAACAAAGTACTAAAGAGAATAGTATTGACAATAATTAAACAATAAGTTATTGTTTAAAATCTTTCATTAGATTTGTTTAAATTCAGTCATCATTAAATTAAGTTGACAGAATAAATAAAAAACATTCCAATTAGTAAATTGGTAATCTAATGCACCGATAGAAAAGTGGCTGTTAAAAAGCTGATACTTTCCAGTACAGATGGTTGGATTGTGATCAGTTTTAACAAGCAAGATCCTTGCTTGGTGACCCGTGTGAATAAGAAAGCAGCTAAAAGCTTGCTTAATCTCATCATTTCATTTCAGACTGTACATCACACACAGCTGTAGCCTCTGTTATGCCCCTGTTTGCTATACTTCTCAAAGCACTTGTTAATAATAGAAAAGTTAGAAAATCCCAGCGACTTTATGGCAGCAGCTACATATCGCAGATTCTCTGAAATATCTGCTACGGCTGGCAGCAGTGGTGGTCATCTGTGCTCTTTGTGTCTCTACCAGTTGATGTTTCGGGCATTCTTCTTCCAAAAATGTCATTGCTGTCTCTTGTTGGATGACTGAACTATCGCAGCTCATATGTTTTCATTAATTTACACAGTAGAGGGACTTCTCCAGGCATTTCTGTCAGTGACAGTTTCACAAGAGTCACATTGGCACAATACATCAGTCCAGTAAGCTGATGGCTATTCATGTCATATAGTATTTATTCACCTATATAGCTATTAGATCCGTTTCCATCCATCAGCTGTATGTTTGTTTCCTTCTTTTTCAGTCTGTATCTCAGTCTGCGCATCTCTCTGTTTACTGTTGTTTCAATAATATCTGTTAAGACTTTGAGTGACTGTACTGATGTCTGGTTGTCCGTTCATCCAGATCTCTCGGAGGATCCTCCCGCTCTTCTAGCCTCTGGGCCCGGTCCAGCTCTGATGACACACATACACAGAATAAGTTTTATGGACACTGTCCATTCATGTTACTGTCAGATTTATTATTTATTTATTATTCTATTTGAAGATAGGAGCATGTGTGTGATTATGTCTGGCTGCCGTGCTCATAGAGACATAACCAGAGCATCACACCAACACAGTGTGAGATTTCAGCAGTCTTATTCTAATTAATTCATTGCTGTGGACACTGTGCAACATGGGTGAACAAACAGTATATAAAAGATGGCTTCCAGGTCTGAAAGGGGAAACCAGACGTGCTTTAAACTTGCATTCTAATCCAGCAGGGGTGACCTTTGGTTGCAAAAGAAGGCTGTTGGTATTGAAGTCTATGAGAAAATGAGTCTTTTGTAGACTTTGGTAAACACTTTCCAGATGAGTGTTATGTCTGGGTTTCTGTTAGCTAGTTTGTGGACTATGTTATTGGGCTTCTAATCCACCAATAAGTTATAAACACCGAGTCTGCCTTTATGTGTCTACGTCCTATAGAAGCTTGTTTTCACCAATAAAATGAATAAATAAATCAAATTGCCATGCAGCTAGCTGAGAAAAATTTAGGAGTGCATGCCTGTCTGATGTTTGTGTTGCAGTAAAATGATGCATAATGAATCATAAATACAGAGGAGCATGTGTTAAAAGAAGCACAACACAATAACTTTATGTTAAGTCTGCTATTTGAGTAAATGTACTTTCAAAACTGCTTTTTATTAAAACATTTCACTGGACTACGATTCATATCTAAAGGATCGGATCATCTGAATCACAGCAATACTATGATGTCATATGATGTGTGGGGTATCAAATTAGAGACCTTATTTTAAAGGAAACAGCTTGCTGGATGTGATGATGTCTTAGTGTGTGGATG